ATATGGCTCGTGAAATTAAAAATATAAAGATCAATACAAAAACAATTTAAATTTTTTTTCATGTTGAAAAATTGTTAAATGTTATTCATCCTAGTGAGAGCAAACACTATTCCATATAATCACAATAATTGTTTCCAAGCAAATAACAAAAATCAAGGAATGACAAAAAGTTGAAGGGTCGAATTAGACAGGGGGAAATCTTAGTGTTAAATTGTTTCATAATGGGCATCATGAAACAATTCAATCAAAAAAATTAGAACAACAAATTCATTATAAAATTAAAAGAACTTGAAAAACTGCTGAAGCCTTTTCTTGTGTTTTACAGATATCAAGCTCTAAAAAAAGCAAAAAACATAGGCCACTAAGATGCAGGCTCGAAGATAAAATGGACCAACGAAAGGGACTATTTTTGATTAATTTCAATTAGAAAGCGTTTTTTTTATTATTTTAACAAACAAATTAGAAACTTATCGTAATATAAACAAACTTTAGTGCTTGAACTTGAATGCAATTTGGAGTACTAAATCACAGATAATTGTCATTACTTTTTTTTAGAAGACTTAAGTAGAATTAGAAACTGTGGACCTTGTACAAGAGAAAAAAATCATTGTGGCCCCAGTTTTGCAAGATAATTTCTCTTTTTTTGATATCAAAAAAGAAAGTCTTTCTTTCTTGATATCAAAAAACAAAATGTGTCGTTATACAGGCTGATCAGTTGAAACTCCTTGCCTTGAAAAGCAAACAATAAAGCGATAACAAACAAAAAATCTTGCAGCCTAACAAAGACTCAAATAATTAGAACACCTGCAAATCAAAACTGAACGAAAAAAAAAAACTTTTTTTAATTTAAAAAACAAAAAGTGAGTATACTGACAACTTTCTAAAGACCGGAAGACAAAATAGGCATCCAATGAAACAAAACTTATGAAGGTTGGAATTAGAAAAAGAACTTTGAATAATTCTGGCATTAAAATCGGACCGGTCTAAAATGTCCTATTTTTTATTCCCACTCTCACTTCCACTCACTCAGTCGAATTAACATTTATTTTCCAAAAGAAATGTTTTTTTTTTCTTTTCCCTCTTTTCATGTTCATATATTTATCAAAAAAAGATCTTAAAGTTATGTAAATTCCTGAAAGATAAAAGCAGCAACACAGATCTGATGACCCAATACTCTGAGAGACAATTGGTGGACGAATCAGTCTGCAATCTAGACGCGGACTAAAACCAGATTAAGTGTTGGTCTAAATGTAACGACTAGGCATTGAACCATCAGTATTAGATCTAAAATCAGTTGTTCAATGAATTTTTAATCATTTATACTTAACTATTCGTTTTATAAACTCATACTTTTTTCTAACTTTTGTTTCTACTATAACATTTTTCAATAGATTTGACGATCTTAGGTGAGACTTATAGCAACAAAATGAATTAATAAAGAGACAAGAGAGGCCACACGAGAGCACGTGTCCCTCTTAGTATAGTACAGACTTCCTTTTGATCTGAAAGGTGTTCTCCAGCTCATACTTCGGCAAAAACAATCCCGAAAAACCAGTAGTTACCATAACAAACACTTGTCACAAACACAATGAGTGCAGCTTTTGAGAACAAAATGTAGCCAGATTTCTTCCGTTGCGCCACAGTTTTTCTTTAAAAAAAGATCAGACAGGAAAATTCTGTTTTCACTTGAGGTTATCGTAAGATTATCGTCGCTTCAAAAAATGAAAACTGATGTTCTAAACATTTATAAACTTTTCACATCCAAGTTTAGGTTTAAGTTTTTGATTTATAAAAGACTTATATTTTGACTTTTTGACAAATTTCATCAATTAGAACAACCAAAATTAGATATTTTTTATTCGATTATAATCAACATACTTTCATGAGATTATAATCTTTTATTATCCATTCATTTAAATTATTGAAAGAAAAATTAACAACTGATTGTTGTTCATAAGAAACAAAAATTTTTAAATTTATATAACCTCTTATTTTTCTAAAGTTTTGTCACGACAAAAATTGATCTTAATTATTTCCTATTGTTTATTTCTGATTTTTTGTCAATAAAAATCATTAAAAATGAAATGTCTTGTCACACGCTGGTTCATCTGAACACAAAGTCAAACCATGAAACAAAAATTTCGTAGAGCTCCTTTCAAGTTAGTTGAAAGATTCCTTTGGTAAGTGAAAAACAAACTTGGCCAAAGAAATTCGGAGAATAAAACAGTTTTCTGATATTTTTTGTCAAAAAAAACTCATTAATTGCATCATGAAACAATTCAAATAAAAAAATTGAGAAAATAAATTTATAATAAAATTGAAACAACTTGATTTTTGTTTTGTTTTACATATACTAACCAACGTCTGAGAAAAGCATAAAATATAAGCCCTTAACATGCAGGGTCAAAGACAAAATTAACAAACACAGAGATTATCATTGATTATATTCAATTGAAAAGCGTTTTTTGATCTTAACAAACAAATTGAAAATTTATCATTATATAAATGACTTTTAACGCTTGAAAGTAGATGCAATTTGGAGGACGCAAATCGCAAATAATCAGCATTACTTGTTTAGAAGATTTTAGTTGACTAATTTAGAAAATTTGGACATTTTACAAGAAAAACTATTGTGGCCCAGGCCCAAGTTTTGCAAGATAATTCCTATTATCGAAATATATGAGCTGAGAAAAAAAACAAATTCATCAAAAAATACCCTGCCGGATGATGATGAGTTTTGAGCTGCAATAATACATTTTGAAACAAAAATTAGTGTCGAAGCGTAATGATTGACAGTTTTGCTTTTTTCGAGCCAAGAACAGACCGTAACCGTAAAATTGACTAGCTCTTAGTGAAAATGATATATCAGAGGCTCCTAACTAAATCCTTAAAAAAACTAAGTCTAACGTCTGACTCGCACTTCTCTTTGACCACAACAACAGTACCTTGGGGAAAAATATACTTGCTACTTTTCGCAGGTCAACTGTAACCTGACCGCGAGAAAAGCACTTGGTGCTTTTAGCGCAGCAGCTGGCTAGTCTTCTTGAATAATTTCAACCAATTCACAAAATAAGTAGGAACTATGACGTATAGTCCGTCCCGTCCCGTCCCGTCCCCCCCCCCCCCCCCCCCCCCCCCCGTCGATTGTGACGAAAGAAATCTTGCAAGGGGTCAAGTGAGATGTCATAGAAAAAAAAATGTTGCAGTCTTGGTTCAGTTTCTACAAAAAGTCAGAATGGAGCTTCGTGCCACTTGCAATACCAAAAAAAGCAATTCAAGCTAGCAGACAGGAAAGGGAATGAGAACAACTATGCCTTCACAAAATTGAGGAAATGCCAATAAAACCACAATTAAAAAATTTCAAATTGTTGCCTGGAATGATATTCTTTTTGAACAAAACACGCGTTCAGAAACATACTCGATCGCTTTTATTGAGAATTTAAAACAATAAGTGAGCGGTAAATGAGCCAACAAAATTTTTCCTGTAAAACCGAAATTAATCTGTTGAAATGAAAACCTTTGAATTATGGATTCTATTCTAAGATTCTGAGCTTTTTGGATAACAGGAGGTCAGCATAACTTTTTTTTATCTCCCTTGAAACAGCCCAAAATTCGATCACTAAACCAATAAAATATAAACTTTAATAATTTGGACGGAAAAAATTAATACAACAAAAAAAAACACGAAGTAAATGGCAGTTAAATTACAAATTGAAACAGTTAAACGATACAATAAAAGTAAATGCAATGAAATGTGGCCTTAAAATGATTTGCTGCTGATAACCTTGATAAAAACTTAACTTTGGTTAGAGTGAGTTGATAAAAAATATCAGAGGCTCAAGGAGAAAAATAATAGGCTATAGGCTCGGATTTGGCAAGATAGTTGGCGAGAAAAGTCCAAAAAACGGCCAACAAATCAAAATTTGACATTTCCGAAAACCATA